AAGATTGTGAGGGATATTGGACTGTAGAGGGTTTGGATTTCATTTGTTTGTTTTTACCCTTTTTGGTTTAAGCATCAGGGTAATACTGACTTCACAGTATTGGGAAGTGTTCTTATATTTTCTAGAAGACATTATATACAGTTGGGTATTCAATTCTTCTTTATATGTTTGGTAAAATACTCCAGGGAAGCCATCCGGACCTGGGGGCTTATTTTTCAGAAACTTATAAATTACATACTCAATTTCTTTAATGATTATATGACTATTCCGATTGTCTATTTCATCTTAGTTGGGGTTTGATAGCTTGTGGTTTTGAAGAAATTGGTCCATGTCTCCCAAATTGTTGAATTTTTTTTTTAGCATAAAGTTGTTTATTGTATTCCCTTCCCACCCTCTTGATTTCTGCTGGATTTGTATTCATGGCCTCGACTCCATTCCTGATACTGATGATCTGCTTCCTCTCTTTTTATCTTTGTCAGTTTACCAATTTTATTGATTTTTCAAAGAATCAGCTTTTTAAGAAATGTTTATTTTTGAGAGAGAGAGAGCAAGTGAGAGCCTGAGTGAGGGATGGTGTCAGCATGCTATAAACGCAGAGCCTGATGCAGGGCTTGAACTCAGGAACTGAGAGATCACGACCTGAGCCAAAGTCAGATGCCTAACCGACTAAGCTATCCAGGCGTCCCTCAAAGAATCAGCTATTGTTTCATTGGTCTTCTCCGTTGTTTTCCTAGTATCAATTTTATTGATTTCTGCTCTTCTCTTTATTATTTCTTTCCTTGTGGAAAGAAAGGCGCTTTCAGTGCCTCTGGAGAAAGGGCAGGGGTGAAACTGAATCTATTCCATGCTAAAGAAAATGCTGTATTATGTTACATTCTAACCGGAGGGAGAGTGAGGTGTAAGAAAGGACATCTGGGAGGCAGACGGTGAGCACTTGTGTTCAAGGTGGGGAGGAGGGAGAGAGGCAAAGATACGGCGCACGGAGAGGCGCGCAGGACGTCAGTCATCAGGCGACGCGAGTCAGAACCACAGTGAGACAGCACCTCACACCCACCTCACACCCCCCATGACGGCGATGACTGAACAGACAGAAAATAAAAGGTATCGGCAAGAACGTGGACAGAGTGGAAGCCCATGCGCTTAGGAGAGAGTAATGTGGTGTCGCTATCTTGTTACTCAAAAACAGAAATATAGTTGCCACTGAATTGTACATTTTAAAATGGTTAAGATGCTATATTTTATGTTGTTGTATCTTACCACAAGAAAAAAGAGTTAAACAGAGAATTACTAGAGGGCCCAGCAATTCTATCAGGTTAGAAATGAAGACACGTGTCCACACAAAACTGGTACGTGAACGCTCACAGCAGTATTATTCCTAACAGTCAGAAAAAAAGAGGTGGGAACCACCCAAACGCCCACCAACTGTGAATGGATAAATAAATGGATGATTATTTGCTTGTTTAAACTGAAACATAGTTGGGGCACCTGGGTGGCTTAGTCGGTTAAGCGTCCGACTTTCGGTGAGGTCATGATCTCGCGGTTTGTGGGTTCGAGCCCCGTGTCGGGCTCTGTGCTGACTGCCAGCTCAGAGCCTGGAGCCTGTTTCAGTCTGTGACTCCCTCTCTCTCTGACCCTCCCCTGCTCACACTGTCTCTCTCTCTCCTAGAAATAAATAAAACATTAAAAAAAATTTAAACTGAAACACAGAGACTACGCTATTCCATATAAAGGAGTATTATTCAGCCATAAAAATGGAATTAAGTACTGATATTTGCTACCATGAGGCTAAACCTTAACCGACTGAGCTACTCAGGCGCCCCTACGATAAACCTTAAAAATACTGTATTTGGTGAAGAAAGCCAGACGCAGGAGGCCATATAATGTATGGTTCCATTAATGTGAAAAATCCAGGACAGATGAGTGTAGAGACAGAGGGCAGACTAGTGGTTTTCATGGGGAAGGAAGGATGGGGAGTGACAAGAATACATATGCAGTTTCTCTTGGGAGGGGTGCAGACATTCTGGAATTAGGTAATGGCAATGGCTGCAAAATCTTGTGAATGTACTAAATACTGCCGGACCATACACTTTAAAAGGGTGAGTTTTATGGTATGTAAATGATATCTCAATTTTAGAAAGAACAAATGGAGTGATCCAAGGAGAAGGGCATCTCCTGGTGCAGCAGGCCAGGCGAGAGCACAGGACTCAAGGGTGCGGGGGGTTAGTGACAGAGCCCTGCAGAGCCTCTGAGCCGGGGACTGTGGGTGAGCTTCGCCCGAGCCCACTTGTGCTGTGGACCTCAGCACCAACTGCGCCCTGAAGAAAGGTGATAATTGTCTTGGATGGGAGGGGTTCCAGGCTTCAGATTGGAAGAAGAAAAGCCTAAGTAGGTAAAGGGAAAGTTTATTCAAAAAAGCAAGAGTAAGCAGCAGTGAGAAAGAACATGGAGTTAAGTGTAGACTTCTGCACCTAAACAGTAACTCAGGGCTTCATGGGGTTGAAAACTGGACTTTCCAGAAGGCAACCCTAGACGGCTGTTGTTGTTGTTGTTCCCAGTAGAGGGGAAGGGGGACGTCAACAAAGGGAATTTAACAATGCTAGAGTAAAAAATGGAAAGTAAGGGGAACGTGGATGAGGAATTCCATGTAAAGTTGTACTGGCTGTGCACTGCACAACTCTAGGAGGTGCTATTCACAAGGACATGTGAATGTGTGGATTGCCTAGAGATAATGCCACGCACAGTCCTGATCTTGGCAATAGAGGATGTTTCCTCTTTTGAGACAGGGACCTCTGAAGACTGGGAGGAGGGCACACACTGACACTGAGGCAGAGCAGGTGGGAGTTCAGGGCCTGCTTGGTCATTCAAGTAAAAGGCGAGGTTTTCTTTCGAGATTAGAGAGAAGAGTAGATATTTGTAGCAAGCCTAAAAACATTAGGAACAGCTGATGAGTAGAGACTAGTAAGGGTCCTTCCTTCTCAGGTCGGATGACCCAAACTTACGGTGCGCTCACTCGCCACCACTGTGGCTTCCTGCTGCACCCTGGGTGCAGGCTAGCAGAGAGTGGGATCACCTAGGGCTGGAAACACCAGCCAGGGAGGGGAGAAGTCAAGGGGCAGCAAGTCTTCGGTGGGACAGTTGATGGGGCTCAGTGGGGAGGCAGGGGTCCGTCATCCAGCCAGGGCCGTGGCTGCATGGCCTTGGGGGGCGAGGGGGTGTGGAGCAGGAGTCGGGACTGCATCCTACAGAGGGACTCCCAGGAAGGAGCGCAGGCAGGAGAGGAGGGCTGGGTGGCTGGAGAGGAACCCAGGCCTCAGCTGTGGGGTGAGGGAGGGCAGAGTCTCGGGTCTCAGTGTGAGATGGCCCTGCTGAGGTGGCCAGTATGGGGGAGAGCCCGGCCTGGATGGCACAGGGGACAAGGGGGGGGATGCCCAGAGGAGGCCCTGACCCAGGCCTGGTGGCCAGGCTGCAGGTCACAGCTGGGAGCTGGCTGAGGCCGTGACCACCTTGCCCAGCGTGGGGCCCGCACGCCCTCCCCGCTCCTCCAGCCTAATACTCCCCTGTTGGGTGGATTTTGTCACTTCCCCTGCAGATGCCATCATAAGCCTAATTCCCACAACTGCTCTTCAAAATCCAGCACAGAGTACGCCTCCCTCTTGTCACCTTGACAAGAGTATTTTCCCCAATTTTTAAAATTTGACTTAGGTTTGAAGCCTTGTGATGCTGGGGCCCTGGAGAGGAGATGCTTTCTGGCCAACAGGCTCCCATGCGGTTCCCTCACTCACCCAACAGACGCATGCTGAGACCGCACGCCTCACAGGTCAGGCAGGGGCAAGCCCGGTGGCCTTCTCACCATGAGTGGACACTGGCAGGGGCATTCCAGCAGTGGCAGCAGGGAGGGCAAGTCCTCGAGAGAAGCCACAGGGCTACACAATGGGCTGATGGGGAGTCACGGGGACACTCGGAGAGAGCTTCCCAAGTGAGGGAAGGAAAGGCCCGAGTGAGGCATGTACCTGGAGCGCCCAGGTATGTGACTTCAGAAGACTGTGAAGCAGACAGAGAGGGAAGTGCAGCGGCCTGAGCACCCAGCCTTGGTGGGGCAGTGCCTCCAGGGGGCATTGGGGGGACCTGAGAGGCCCGAGGCAGGAGGGAAGGTAGATCCTGCAGCTGCTGGCGGAGGGCTGGACCCCAGGTGCTGGTAGGGGCCTTCCCGACAGGTGGCCCACCCAGCGACTCTTCTTCCTCATAGAAGCATCTTGGTTTAACTCCAGGCATGGGTGTACCTGCCCCCAGGGAAACTGCGAGTGCTCCCCCTTGTTCCGGAGAGGAGCCGCTACCTGCCTCCCTTGCAGCTATAGCCCTGATCTGGAAAGGCCGCAGGGCAGCCGTGGGCAGCAGGGCCCGGGCAGGAGCCCTCCCTCTGACAAGGGGAGTCTGAGGGGGAGCCTTCGCCTTCCCTCTCTCCAGCCCAGGAGAAGAGGCAGCAAGTATTTCACAACTGGGACTAGGAAAAGCTGACAGCCTGGGAACACAGATGCAGGACACTGATGACACTGTCCAATGCCCAACAAAATGCGAGGCCGTCGCCCCCAGCCCCAGAATTCTCTGCGAGTGTAGGTCACCATCAGGCGGGACCGTCCCTTGCAGCCTGAGGTGCTCCCAGCCTGACGGGGTGGGAGTGTGGAGACGAAGTGCCTGTGCACAGCACACCGCACGCGCACCCCATACGTGTGTGGAGGGGGGCGGACTCCTACCCTGGACTCTTCCAGTATCGCCGGTACATTCTCTAGCAAGGGGCTTTGTGTTTGGTGGTGAAGAGCACGGGTCTTTCATAATTAGGGAAATTGGCATTCTAGTTATCTACTCCTCTCTTCAAAAGGATCAACTACTAGAGAAATATAATTTCTTTCTTATAAAAATAGTCTTGGAATAACTTTAGGCTTTTAAAAAATCATGTCAGCATTCCTGGAGATCTGATAACATTGTGAGCTCATATATCTTACCACTGTGAAGTCAGGGTAGAAAATACATCATCTTTTTCAGATTCCCAGAATAACTTCAAAAGTTCCGGATCCCCAGATAAGTGTGCAAGAATGCGCAATTCAATCTGCGAAAAGTCTGTGAGATAAGAGTCTACATTAATTCAGAATCCACAGAGAGCGTCCCGTCGTCCCTCCCACAGCCCACCCACCCTCAAGCTTCGGTCCTCACTGAGGCCTCCAGAGCAACGTCCCCCCACCCCCATCTGCCAGGCTCCCTTGGCCTCAGGGCCACCAGCCACCTGCTGTCCCTGTGTCCGGAGGTCCAGGAGGCCCCTGCCCTCTATGAGGCCAGCAGTGCCTCGTCTGTTCACTCTGTACATCTGAAGTGTGGAAGGGCCTGCTGTGCACCCGGCTGTGCGCTCGGCACTTGTTAGGGAACAAAACAGACCAGCGGTTCTTCGCGGAGGCTACATTCCAGGAGCGGGAGACAGTGTGAGTTATCTGGTGTCAGAAGATGAGAAGTGGGAAAGACGGATCAAGAAAAGAGGTTGATGAGCGAGTGGGAGGCCGGTGCACATGTCCTCGAGAAAGTGATGTCTGGGCAGAGGCACAGAGGAGGCGAAGGAGGGAGCGAGGTCTCTGGTGAAGAGGGCCCACGCTGGGCACGAGCTGGGGCTGGCCCACGCCGGAGGCTGGCACTCGTGTGGCGAGCGAGCCGGCTAGGGCGCCGGGGTGATGGCAGAAAGGAGAGGCAGACAGGGTGCTGCTGTACGGGGGCATCTGCGGTCTAAGACAAGGTGAGGGACCCTGGGAGCTGATCTGCTTTTATTCACTATGCACAAGACATCTCTACTCTGCATAAATATCTGCCTTAGGATTTATTTTAAAGGATGAATTCTGTAAGTACTTTTGAAGTATTCCATTTCCAAACATACAAACTGCATGAGGTGCACAAAGTGAGCTACAACGACACGGGTGTCTCTCTGGCCTGGGCCGCACATACCTGCCGCCAGGAAGGTGTGGCCTTCGGGTGACACCAACATGCTCCTCGGGGAGATGGTGAGCATTCCGCCTTCCGCACCTGAGTTGTTATTTAAAGGGCACTTGGGGAGTCTGGGCACAGGCTGCTTCACAGCTTATTTTAATATCAGTCCAAAGTCCAGAGTCCAGATTTCTGACTTTGCTGAATATATTTATTACCATAATTTAAAAATAACACGGTACTGCTGAGAGTAAAGTGGATTTTCTGTTGTTAAAATTTTATGTTGTGTCTGGAATTCCTGGTGAGGAAAAGCTCGAAAAACACAGACCCTTGAATGGACTCCCGTTAAGAACAGTCTGGAGACTCCCTGAGCCTGTCCCACCAGAAGACAGACTTTGGGGAAGTGCGGTCCTACGATGTATGAATATGATTTGAAGGGCAGCAGGGGACAAAGTCACTACGGTCACCTCCAAGGTCCTGCTTAAGTGTGACTGACTTTGTGTATTTGAAAAGGACCCCTGTCATGGTCACCGTTCTGTGGTGACCCAGCGGAAACCGAGGAAGCAGGAGCCCAGGGGGAGGGGCCGCAGAGCCTCCTTTGCTCAGATTTGAGCTTTTTCTTTTTTATAAACGTAACCAGCAGCACGACAGTGGAATAGCTCAAAAGAAAGAACAGTGCTTTTATAAACATTTCCAGTAGTTTTCAGACTTTAGTAAAAGCCAGTTCTATTGTGCTTGTTTTTCCCTCTATTGGGAAGTTGGTGGGGGAGAGATGGTGGGAGGGAGCTACTTTCCTTGTATGATTATCATCTATTTTAACATGTGAATGGCTAAAAGGGGGAATGGCTAAACATGTGAATAAACATCAGTTTATTTTTCAACATGCACTTAAATCCTGGCCATGCAAACGCAGAGAACTTCAGGAGGGCAAAGAGCTTAGTTATACAGAAAAGCAATTATAAACACTTGTAGGTTTTTAGAAAATGTTACCCCAGACTTCAGCAAAGTAGGAAGAAATGTGTTACCTTTAAAATTCTGTGGTTTAGTAATCCGAACTGGGTGCTTGGAGATACCTTGGATATTCTGTTAATAATAAGAGAATAGCTTTAGCTAAAATATCTACTTGTAAATTAATCTGTATCATTTAATATTATTATTATTTATTATTATTAAAATTTTTAAATGTTTATTTCTGAGAGAAAGAGACAGAGTTTGAGTGGGGGAAGGGGCAGAGAGAGAGGGAGACACAGAATCCGAAGCAGGTTCCAGGCTCTGAGCTGTCAGCACAGAGCCCGACGCGGGGCTCAAACCCATGAGCAGGGTGATCATGACCAGAGCTGAAGTCAGATGCTTAACTGACTGAGCCACTCAGGCACCCCTATCATTTATTATTTTTAAAGTAAGCTCCACACCCAATATGGGGCTCGAACCCATGGCCCTGAGATCAAGAGTCACACACTCTACTGACTAAGCCAGCCAGGTGCCCCCAAATCTGTACCATTTAAGAGCATTTAAAATGTGTCATATTTTATTAAATCTTAACAAAATAGCTAATGCTGATATATTATGCATAGGCATATTACCGCTCAATAGAAGTGTCTAGTACTGAAACGTGACTTTGTTGAGTACACCACTAGGAACAGTCAGCAAATGTGCGAACAATTCTTCTTGACTCTAGTCTGTGTAGCCCTTATTGTAATTATACACTGTAATGCTGTTAGGAGCAGCCTAAATTACAAACTTGGTTAAGATCTTCTATATAACATGCTAAATGTAGATTTCTATGAAATCTGTATATTGTAGTTTCCCCTTAAAAGCATATTTTAAGATGAAAATTCTGGTCTCTCCGCCCTTCTCTGGTGCTCTTGGCACCAGTGCTGGCCTCCGTCTTGGCACATGCAGCCGCCCCGTGGCTGGTGGCCATTGTGTCTACACCCCCTGCAGCAGCTTGCTAAGCACCTTTACACCTTTATGACTGGGACTGAAAGGTCGCTGGCTTCCAGCCTGGTACTGCCATTCAAACCAAGAGCTTCTGGAGCAATATCCTTTTGTGCTCGGTAGTCTTCCACAAAGACACCCTGCTTTGTCTGGTAATGAAACTCGTTGGGCATCAGTTGGTCTAGACTCCCTAACTAATCCGGTGATGCTGCTGGGCATCTCAGACCCTGTGTGTCAGGCCCAGCAACCCCAGGTGGCAGGCACCATCACCCCATTTTTTAAGGTGAGGATACTGAGGCCCGGAGGTATGAAGCTAGTGGCTCTCAAGGTTTCTGTACAATAGAATCGCGTGATATTTTAAAACAATACCAAATATTCACATGATAAGCTCAGTAACAGAGTACAGACAACAGAAAACAAGAGCCAGTGAACTTAAAGACAGATCAATAGAAACTATCCAATGCAGAGGAGAGAAGAAAAATGTTAGGGGGACATGAATTCATGGCTCAGGGACCTGTGGGTAATGCTACAAGTACAGTATGATGGTATTATTTTTTCTTAAGAAATATTATTTAATGTCTTTATTTTTGAGAGAGAGAGACAGAGACAGAGACAGAGCTCAAGCAGGGGAGGAGCATAAAGAGAGGGAGACACAGGATCTAAAGCAGGCTCCAGGCTCTGAGCTGTCAGGACAGAGCCCAATGTGGGGCTCGAACTCACAAACTGTGAGATCATGACCTGAGCTGCAGTTGGACTCTTAATGGACTGAGTCACCCAGGCACTCTTGATTGTGTTATTTAGTCCCTGAAAGAGAAATAAGGCTTGTGCGGGGGGAAGAAAAAAAAAAAGCAACCTTAAATAATGGCTAAAAATTTCCCAGATTTAGTGAAAGACATATTTTTCAGATTCAAGAAGCTGAACAACCTTAAATAAGATGAATTAGAAGAAAATCAGGCCTGGAAACATCACAGTCAAACTGCTGAAAATCAAAGATTTAGAACAAAGTTGAAAGCAGCCTAAGCAAAACGACACAGGACATGCACAGGGGCGACTGCGGGCCTCCCACGGACTCAACTGCTCTTGGGAAACAGGCAGATTTAGAAGAACTGAAATCATTCAAAGTGTGCTCTCAGACCATAATAAGGATAAACTAAGAATTATATGGAAAATTCACAAATATTTGGACATTAAACAACATACCTCTTAATTAGCCAGGACTGAAAGCGTAAGTCTCATGGGAATTTAGAAAATATATTGAATGGAGTACAGAAGAAAACACACAGTATCAAAATTCATGGGATGCAGCCAAAGCAGTACTTACAGGGAATTTTATAGCATTAAATGTTTATACTGGAGAAAAAGAAAGGTCTCAAATCAGTAATTTAAGCTTCTACCTAGAGGAACTAGAAAGAGAAGAGCAAATTAATTCCAATGCAAGAAACAGAAAAATAACAGAGCTGAAATTAATGACATTTAAAACAGAAAAGCACTACCGCTGACCCTTGAAAATATGGGCTTGAACCACGCAGACCTACATATACATGGGGTTTTTGGAAAAATACTAGGACATGGGGCAGCTGGGTGGCTCAGTCGGTTAAGTGTCTGACTTTGGCTCAGGTCATGATCTCACAGTTGGTGGGTTCAAGCCCCGTGTCAGGCTCTGTGCTGACAGCTCCGAGCCTGGAGCCTGCCTCCGATTCTGTGTCTCCCTCTCTCTTTGCCCCTCTCCCGCTCATGCTGTCTCTCTCTGTCTCAAAAATAAAAATAAACATTAAAAAAAAGCCACAAAAAAGAAAAATACGAGGACAGGACTGTAAATGTATTTTCTCTTCCTTAGGATTTTCTTAATGGCATTTTATTTTCTCTAACTCACTTTATTCTATGAATATGGCACATAATACATATACAGAATATGTGTTGCTCAACTGTATTTGTTATTGGTAAGGCTTCCGGTCAACAGTAGGCTGTTTGGGGAAGTCAAAAGTCCTATGTAAATTTTCTACTGACCTGAGGGGTCAGTGCCCCAATCCTTGCGTTGTACAGGGGTCAACTGTACAGAAAACTCAGTGAAACCCAAACCAGGTTCTTGTGAAAGACCAATATAAAAGATAAACCTCTACCTAAAGTGTTCAAGAGAAACAGAGGAAGGTGAAAATGATCAGTTTTAGGAATGAAAGGCAGATATCACCACAGAGCACAATCCCAATAAAAAAGCTGTAGGAGCATAATATGCCCATAAGTTCAACAACTTAGATGAAGGGGGCGAATTCCTTGAAACATACAAACTATCAAAATTCACTCAAGAAAAAACAGGAAATCTGGGTAACGTACATCTATTAACAAAAACTGACTCTGTAGTTATGAACCTTTCCACAAATAATATTCTAGGTCCTGATAGTTTCAGTGGTGAATTCTATCCATTATTTAAGGAATAAATAACATCAGTTCTGCATGATCTCTACCAGAAAATAAAAGAGAAAGAAATATTTTCTAACTCATTTTATGAGGCCAGTAATATCTTAATAGCAAAACCAGACAAAGGTATTTCAAGAAAAGAAAACTACACACCAATATCCTTCACGAATATAGACAGAAACAATCCTAAACAAAATATTAGCAAATCAATTCAGCAATAGGACAATTGTCATGGCCAAGCGGGGTTAATCCCACAAACCACAGACTTGGTTGGTTCAACATTTAAAAAGTCATCAGTGTCATTCCCTATATAAATACATTGAAAAAAAATCATATGACCTTAATAGATACAGAGAAAGCATTTGAAAAAATTAAATATCCATTCGTGATAAAAACTGCTCTCAGTAAACTAGGAATGGGAAGAAATTCTCTGTCTTGATAAGGAGAATCTGTGACAACATGTAAAATGAATCCTACGCCTGGTAGTAGAAGATGCCTGTCTCCTCTGGAGATGAGGTCAGGGCTCAGGTGTCTGCTCCCGACTCCAGTCAACACTCCAGTCAACACAACAGATGAAGTCTGAACCAGTATGGTAAGTCAAGAAAAAGAACACCATACAAAGAAAGAAAGAAAGAAAATAGCCATTACTCACTGAAGACATGATTGTCTACATAGAGGAACCCATGAAAATAACAAATAAGCTTTCTGGAACTAATAAATGAGCTGACCAAGGTACCAGGGAATATAGTCAACAACATACAATCAACTGTGTATCTACATATTACCAATGAACAATTGGACACTGAGATAAAATGGACAATGCCATTTATAACAGCACCCCAAAATACCTAGGTAAAAATCTGTATGCTGAAAACTACAAAATCCTGATGAAAGCAATTAAAGCCCTAAATAAATGGAAAGCTATACCATGTTCTTGGATTAGAATACTCAATATTAAATGCCAATGACCCCAAATTGATCTACAAGTTCAACACAATCCCAACTGAAATCCCAGCAGGATATTATTTCATGGCCATCAAAGAGCTGATTCTATAATTATGCATCAGAGGTCTAAACATAAAATGTAAAACTCTAAAACTTCTAGAAGAAAACTTGGGAGAAATCCTTGTCACCTTGGGTTAGACAAAGAGCTCTTAGATACACTCCAAAAGCATAATGTCTAAAAGAAAACACTTGAATTGTTTGGCTCCACCAAACTTTTAAAAACCTTTGGCTTGAGAAGGAAGCTGTTAGGAGGGAATAAAAAAGCAAGCCTTTATATGAGGCTATTTTTTTTTTTTTTTTTTTTGCAAATCACACTGGATTCAAAATATATGAAGAACTCTCAAAAAAAATAAGCAATGAGAGGTACTTGCAGAATGGCAGGGGAGCCTACTAACTCATTCTATGAGGTCAATATTATGCTGAAACCAAAGCTAGACATTAAATACAACATCGTCCATAAATAAAGATACAAAAACCCTCAACCAAATATTAGCAAACTGATCTAACAACATACAAAAAGGATTATATACCATGACAAAGTAGAGCTTATCTCAGAAATACAAGGTTTGTTTAAAATCCAAAAATAATTAATGTAATACATCATATGTTAGTAGAATAAAGTGCAAAAAACTCCCACACAATAAAACATTAAGAGCATCTGATAAAATCCAACACTTATGTACATGAAAATATCTCAACTGTCTAGGGAAAAAAAGGAATTTTCC